GATCATTGAACTTAGACTTAATGAATTTTCATTTTTTTTCTTTGCATTTATTCTTCTATCATACAATATATCCTCACTCCAACCTTACCTTGCTCCACTTCCTCTAGTGCCCTCTTCCACAAATCCCCATTTCCTCAGATCCACTGCTACTCTGTTGCCCTTCAGAAAAGAGCAGACCTCACAGGGATATTAAACAAACACATCAGAACAAGACGCAATAATATTATGCACAAGCCCTCCTATCAAGACTGGACAAAGTAACCCAATAAAAGGAAAAGAGTCCCAATCCCTTACAAATGAGCCAGAACACCATCACTCCTACAATTAGGACTCCCATAAACATTTCAAGCTAAAGAACCATAGCACTTATGCAGAGGACCTGGGATAGAGACATGCATTCTCCACAATTGATACTTCAGTTTCTATGAGCCCCTATGAACCCTGTTTTGTTGATTCTTTGGGTCATATTCTCCTGGTTTCCTCAACCACTCTGGATCCAACAGTACTCACGCCCTCCTTGCACAGGATTCTCAGAGTTCAAGGTAATGTTTGAGTAGAGATCTCTGCATGTGCTCCCATCAGCCACTGCAGGAAACCTCTTCAGTGACAAATGGGATAGGCACCAGTCTATGATTATAGCAGTATATAGTTGTGAATTATTCCATTGGTTTATTTTTCTTGATTGGATGTATTTGGTACTACCCTAGTTCTCTGAGTCATCCAAGTTTTGGTTCCTGGCCATCCATGTAGTGTCACACATGAGCTTCCTCTCAGAGCATGGACTTCAAGATAGGTCAGTCATTGGTTGGCCACTACAGAATCTCTCAGCCACCATTGCCCCAGCATATATAGCAGGCAGGAAAAGTGTGGGTCTAATGTTTTGTGGCTGGCTTGGTGTCCCAGTCCCACCACTGGGAGCCTAATGTGTTTACAGATGATGGCTGGTTCAGCTTCCATATTCTTAATTACTAGGAATCCTCACTAGGGTCATCCTAATAGCTTTCAGGAAGTTTTTGCTGCACTGTTTCCATATCTCCTGCTAAGAGGTCCCCTATTGCAGTCATCTGTCATTGTCTTCTCCCATTCTGTCCATTCCTTACTCACCTGATCCTTCCTGTTCCCATCCCAATCTGCCTCCAGTGCACACACAATCTATTTATTCTATTTCCTTCCTAGGGGAGAGCCATGCATCTCCCCTAGAGATGTTTTTGTTACTTAGCCTCTCTGCATCTATGGATTGTACTGTGATTAACTGTGGTTACTGTGATTGTACTTTATTTAACTACTAATATCCACTTATAAGTGAGTATACATACCATGTTTGTCTATTTGCTTCTGGGTTGCCTCACTCAGGATAATAAAGAACTCAAGAAACTAGACGACAACAAACCAAATAGTCCAATTATATTGGGCTACAGCTCTAAACAGAATTCTCAGTAGAGGAATCTAAAGTGGCTGAGAGGCACTTGAAAAAAAATGTTCAATATCCTTAGCCATTAGGGAAATCATATCAAAACTACTTTGAGGTTTCTTTTTATATCTGTCAAAATGGTTAAGATCAAAAAGACAAGTGACAGCTTCTGCTTGCCAGTACATGGAGGAAGGAGATTCATTGCTGTTGCAAGTGCAAACTTGTATAGCCACTGTGGAAGTCATTATGCAATCATCAGAAAAAAGGGAGTCAATCTCCCTCAACACCCAGCTATATCACTTTTGAGCATATACCCAAAAGATATGTCTCCATCCTCCAACAAAGACACTTCCTCAACTATGTTCATGGTGGCTTTACCCATAATAGCCCAATACTGTCATGTCTGTTAGAGATTGTTTTGATTGATGATTGATGTCAGAAGGTTCTTCAACTTAGGGTGATGGGAAGGCTCCTCCACCAATGGTGACAATATCCCTAAGAAAGTGTGCCTGGGCTAAAAAGTAGAGCTAGCTGAGCAAGAGACACTGATTAGGCAAGAGAGAGAGCCAGGAACAATCTTGTCCCATGGGTTTTGCCTTCAATTGTTAGCTTGATTTTCTATCCTAATCTTCCAAAATGGTGGATTATGATCTGACATAATCAGCCAAATAAATGCATTTATTGCCTGAGATTTTTTTTGTGCATGTGTTAGAGGATTTAATCACAGAAGGATAAAAGTAAGTTATGAAATAAATGGAATAAAAAAGTTTGTTGCTAGGTAGAACCTGTGAGTGTTGTCTTTTGGAAGAATGTGGAAGATATCAAGACATTAGGTGGTAAAAGCCATAGAAAGTTGTACACAGAACTTAATTGTCTGTTCTTTTAGGACCAGGAAATGGGAATGTTAAGAGGAATGGCAGTAAGTGTAGTTTGAGATCATAGGATTTCAGTTGGAAATAAGTACTCTATAAAAAAAATTAAGCTAGTTGCCATTTCTATGATATTTTGGCTCCAAAGTCTCTCTTATTTTACCTATGCTCTGGAAATATAGTAAAGCAGAAATAAAAATTAATGGGCTAATTCCTAAAATGGAATATTGAACCCATTGGGTGGTTATTAGTGATGACTGATTCATGTCTACAGTGAAAAGGAAACAACACGTGGGGCAGAAATAATTGAACATGAAAAGATAGTTTCAGAGAGCAGTCAAGTATTGAAACAGGCTGGAATTTTCAAGGAGTTTATCACCATTATAGAGAAGGCCCTTGGTATAGAATTGAAGCCTAGGAAGGTACCCTAAGGGAAAGACTCTATGCTGCTAAACATTCAAATTATGGAAGGAGTAAGCAAAGTGATTCCTACTCACAGTAAGCAACTTCCTACAAGACCTGCTGAACCTGTGGTCCAAGCATGTTAGTGTCCATCCCAATTAGGAAATCATACTTTGCAGGATCACCTATCGTCCTAGAAACAAGAAAAGGTCAAAATTTGAGGTCACAGATTCTTAGTCTGTGGTTACTTTCCAGAATTGTCAGCATTCTTGCAAGCATCTATGGCAGAGTCAGAAAACCAATGAGCACACAGCAAGAGTTCACTGTATGAAGCTGTGAGGTTTGAAGCCTGGTGTTGTCAGTTTTTTTGTTTTTTGTTCTTTACTCTTTTGGGGGTCAGCCACTCAGCTCTCAAATAAATCACACACAGAGGCTTATTCTTTCTTATTCTGTGGCATTGTATGTTGGAAAGTTCTAACTTCATTTCTGATTTCACAAGATGTCCCTGTCAAGAGATTACTTTGAGTTTCAGAAGAGACTTTGGACATTTGAACAGTGTTAGCACTGTTGCAGATTATCAGAATCAAGGAAGTGACTAAATGCATTTTCTTTATGGATGACCATGAGCCTATAGTGACCTGTGTAAGAATGTAGTTGATTGAATGATACACCTCCCAGATAGCATGATGTATTTGAACATGTGTCTCTCCTTGGTGACTTTCTTTCCATTGATTGTAAAACCTTTAGTAGGAGGAACCCTGTCTCAAAAAACCAAAAAAAAAAAAAAAAAAAAAAAACCTTTACTAGGAAAAGACCTTCTGAATGAAATTCCTCATTGTGGGTGTGAAACGAGTCTCTATAGCCTCAAGCCATTTCCTGTTCTTTGTGTATAATGTGTTGTGGTTGAAACTAATCAGCCAGCTTCCTTGTATTGTCATGCCTTCATTGCTGTATTGACGCTAACTCTAAATCACATAAGATACAGTAGAAACATTTGGTATTCAGGGCCACAGCAGTTTTTTAGCCTGCTGTTTTATTTCTTTTGCTTACTTTTGAAGACAAATTTTTTCTGTATAGCCATGGCTGTCCTGAAAGTACACCTCTGTACACCAGGCTGGCCTCAAACTCAGAGATCTCCTTGACTCTGGCTCCATTAACAGTGGGCCAATATTCCTGGGTTTTTTGTTTGTTTGTTTGTTTGTTTTTCTGTTATTGAGTATTGGACCCAGAACATAGGTTTTTGTAGATTCAAGCATATGATGCTGTAGTGAGGTTCATCCATATTTTGAAATTTAAAATTTGGCAGAAGGTTCATTCTGTTTTCCAGGATGGCATGTATTCATGACATTAATACTACCTGAGCCTTCTGACTCATTGGATTGCAGGTACATGAACTTCTTCATGTATGTTGTGTACACTTTGAATTTTTTAAGTGAATATGAATATTTTAATTGCATGCATGGATATGCACCACATGGGTGCCTGGTCCTCATAGTGATCAAAAAATGATCTCAGAATCCCTAAACTTGGAATAGTGGATAGTTTTGATTCTCCCATATAAGTAGTGGCAATTGTGCCCACCTATATGCAGGGACATCAAGAGCTCTTTACTACTGGGCTATCTCCTACACTGTGTTGATTATTTATAATCAACATTTATTTTGCTAATGTTTTCATCTATCCTTTTATGACACTTTAAATACACAGTGCCTTTCAGTATAATATGATTGATGTTACAGTTTTAATTGAGATGCTGCAGGTTTCTGAAGATGAAAACCAAACTGGAAGGAATACATGACTCTTTGTAGGAACTTTAGCAAAAACCTCTGAGTTCTTTCTTTTTTTATTGTTTTACTGATTTTTGCATGGGAGACAGGGTCTTCATATGTACTTCTGGCTCTCTTGGACCTGATTCCATAGACTAGGCTGGCATTCAACTCAGAAGCAGATATACCTGCCTCTGCCTTCTGAATGTTGGAGTTAAAGGCGTGAGCCAATACACACAGTTTGTCCATCTTATTTTTCATCTTTTTGGTTAGTAATTTCTCATACAATTTCTCTCATGTGTACTCTGTACTGTTGATCGATTTACTTGTCTCTCTGTTTGTTAATAGACACTTCTCTTGCAAAGGGTACAGAAATGATAGGTGTGAACCTCCTATTCAGTTTCCTTCTAAAGTGACTTGGTGATTACATTATAATGTCTGTGTCATGAAATAAGTAAGAGGAGGAACAGAATTATATGAATATACCATCAAAGAAGTATACATTTACAATGTTGTTAGTATCAGGTTTTCAGTTGTACACCTGTATTTTAGAATGCAGTGACCTATGATGATGTGCGTATTGACTTTACTTGGGAAGAGTGGACTTTGCTGGATCCTTCCCAGAAGAATCTCTACAAAGATGTGATGCTTGAGACCTATAGGCACCTCACTACTATAGGTAAGACTACTAAATGTTCCTTCATATTTTAAAATAAGGGGACTGCAAGTCCTTGATTATTGATGCTCTTCTATAATTTGATTAAAAAAGAAGAATGATGTGATTAAATCAGGCATGGCTCTAAGGTTCACTGAGCATAGTAAGTTAAATTTTGCACAATGTTCAATAATATAACATACATTTTTCTGTCACTATATTTTAGGATACAGTTGGGAAGACCATAATATTGAAGAACATTGTCAAAGTTCTGGAAGACATGAAAGGTAATTTTCATGTGCAACCTGATACAAATGTGCCTCTAAAGTAGTTGTAATATGTCCTCAAGGTTTTAAGTAAAAGCAACAGTGTTAAAAAAAAAAGCACCACTTAAAGTCCATTGATAATTATTAAATTCTCATACAACCACATATCTCAATTTTAGGTCGGTGAATTTCATTTGCAAGGCATGCTTTTAAGAAAGAAGTCAAGGAAACAATGCCTTAACTGATAACACAATTTAAATCATAGCAACATATTTATGCTGTAGAGAGAGAGAGAACTTCTGTCCATTTCTTTCATAGCACTCATATTACAAAATGTATACACATTGAAGATGTGATAAGTATATCTCCAAAACCTTCTAACAAACAAACAGTCCATAGTAAATCTGGCATTACTCATGTATTTGTTGTGACTCTGCTGTTTAGTGAGATGGGCTGTTAGAGTCAAGAGTCAATGCAGTTGTATAGAAGCCTTTTTTTTACAATTATTTATTTATTTATTTACTTTTTAAATCTAATTTAATTTTATTTTACAATATAATTTAGTTCTACATATCAGCCATGGATTCCCTTGTTCTTCCTCCTCCCGCCCGTCTCCCCTTCCCCCCAAACAACCTTTTTTGTTTGTTTGTTTTTCGAGACAGGGTTTCTCTGTGTAGCTTTGCACCTATCCTGGAACTTTCTTTGTAGACCAGGCTGGCCTCGAACTCACAGAGATCCGCCTGCCTCTGCCTCCAGAGTGCTGGGATTAAAGGCATGTACCACCACCACCCTGTGTAGAAATCTTAATCCCTGTACCACATGTCTATGAGTACAGAAAGTAAAACTGAATTCACTGTGGAAATCTTTTATTTCTTTCTGCCGGTCCTAGGTATATTATATGCCACTCTGGATACAAGCCATATGAGCATAGGGATATGGAAAGACATAACATACATCTCTCTCAGAACAATTAGAAGATATGAATCAGTTCCCAGTTTAAGTACTCTTGTTGAATTTGATTCAAGTATACAAGTAATTAGTTTTCCAGGTTCATTGTTAATACATCATCAAACACTGCACTAAAATCCTGTGAGAATGAGGATTATGTAAATATTTCTGTTTGTCCTAATTCACTTAGGAAATGTAGTATGACTCACAGTACAGGAAAATTGACAAATGCCATAAGGATGGTAAAGCTCTGAGATTTTCCAGTTTTCTTCACACATGTGAAAATTCTCATATAGAAAAAAGGTTCTGCAAATGGGAATCTTGTCATAAAGGATCTTACCATCAAAGAGGCAAAACTTCCCTTCATGAAGGGAAACAATATGAGTGTGGATACAGTGATAAAACCTTATGATCTAGTTCTTTACAATTGCACCATATTGTAAAATTGTTTAATACAGATATAAAGATTCAACAGTCAATTGAATGTGTTAAAACTTTTACATGTTTCATTTTCCTTGTAGGCAAGAACTAAGTCAAAATGGAGAGAGACCTTCTGTACATACTCAATATGTTAAGGCCTTTGCATTTCCTGGTAATATTGAACTGCTTGAAAGAACAAATACTAGTGAGAATCCTTATGAATGCAATCAACCTGTTAAAGCCTTTGCATATCACAATCATCTTCAAAACTGTGAAAAAGTACACACCAAAGAGCAACCCTGTGAATGTAATCAGTTTGATAAAGCCTTTGCAAAATACAGTCATCGTCAAAGGCATGAAAGAACACATAATGGAAAGAAACCTTTTGAATGTGATTATTTTGGTAAAGCTATTGCACAGCACAGTAATCTTCAAAGTAATAAAAGAACACATACTGGGGAGAAACTCTGTGAATATAAGCAATGTAGTCAAGCCTTTGTATGTCACAGTGCTCTGCAATGTCATATAAGAACACATCCTGGGGAGAAATCCTATGAGTGTAATCAGTGTGGTAAAACTTTTGCACATCCCAGTACTCTTCAAGTGCATAAAAGAATCCATACTGGAGAGAAACCTTATGAATGTACTCAATGTGGTAAAGCCTTTGCAGATCAAAGTACTCTTCAAAGGCATAAAAGAACACACACTGGAAACAAACCCTTTGAATGTAATGATTGTGGTAAAGTCTTTGCACAATACAATAATCTGTGTAGTCATAAAAGAATACATACTGGGTACAAACCTTATGAATGTAAGCAGTGTGGTAAAGCCTTTGCACGATACAGTCATCTTCAAAGGCATGAAAGAACACACTCTGGAGAGAAACCCTATAAATGTAATCAGTGTGGTAAAGCCTTGGCAGATCAAAATAGTTTCCGAGTACATGAAAGAACCCATACTGGAGAGAAACCCTTTGTATGTAATCAATGTGGTAAAGCCTTTACAAGTCGCAACCGTCTTCAAATACATGAAAGAACCCATACTGGAGAGAAACCCTTTGTATGTAGTCAGTGTGGTAAAGCCTTTGTATGTCAGACTGCTCTTCAAAGTCATAAAAGAACACATACTGGAGAGAAACCCTATGAATGTAATAAATGTGGTAAAGCCTTTGCTAAATACAGTCATCGTCAAAGGCATGAAAGAACACATACTGGAAAGAAACCTTTTGAATGTAATGATTGTGGTAAAGCCTTTGCACAGCAAAGTAATCTTCGAAATCATAAAAGAACACACACTGGGGAGAAACCCTATGAATGTAAGCAATGTGGTAAAGCCTTTGTATATAACAGTGCTCTTCAATGTCATATAAGAACACATACAGGGGAGAAACCCTATGAATGTAATCAGTGTGGTAAAGCCTTTGCACATCCCAGTACTCTTCAAATGCATAAAAGAACCCACACTGGAGAGAAACCATATGAATGTATCACTTGTGGTAAAGCCTTTACACGTCTCAGTATTCTTCATATTCATATAAGAACCCATACTGGAGAGAAACCCTATGAATGCCATCAATGTGGTAAAGCCTTTAAAGATCAAAGTACTCTTCAAAATCATAAAAGGACCCATACTTAAGAGAAACCCTATTACTGTTAATGATTGTGGTAAAAACCTTTGCATGCCTCAGTACTCTTCAAATGCATAAAATCACATAAAGAAGCCCTGTGTATGTAATCAATTTGGTAAAGCCTTTGAATGTCACAGTAGTCTTCAGAGGCATAAAAAAACACTTATTGAAGAGGAAACCTATAAATTTAATCAGTGCAGATGAGCTTTTGATTGTCACAATTGTTACTGAAAGTATGAAAGAAACTATACTGCAGAGAAACCCTGTTTGTGTAATTAGTATGGTTAATCCTTTCTATGTCATAGTACTCTTGAAATGTCTAAATGAACACATACTGGAGAGCAACCCACTGAATGTAATCAGTGTGGTAAAGCCTTTGCTCAAAATTGTGTTCTTCAAAGGCATGAAAGAACACATACTGGAGAGCAACCCACTGAATGTAATCAGTGTGGTAAAATCTTTGCATGTGTGAGTTTTCTTCAAAATCATGAGAAAAAAATCAACTTGCAGAGAAACCCTCTAAGTGTAGTCATTGTGGTAAAGTTTTGCACTTTAAACAAGAGTAAAACTTTTTGTGTGCAAACTATCTCTTAAAGCCTTGGGATATCGCAATAATCTTTGATGATGTAAACAGCTATTGAGGCCTTTTAAAAATAATTTTTAATTAAAATATTTTTCTTCCCTTTTATATACCATGCCCTATTCCCCCTCCTTCCCTTTCTATCACTTCCACCACCTCCTTCATCCCATCCACTCCTCATATGGGGTAAGCCCTCTCTTCAGTAGTCAGCACAATTTGGTGCTGGACTTAGCCCTTCCCCCTGCATCAAGGCTGAATAAGGCATCCCACCATAGGCAATGACCTCTAAAAAGCCAGTTCATGTGCCCAAGATGATTTCTGGTCCCATTGCCTGTGTATTGAGAAACATATGAAGGCATATAACTGTCACCCATATTCAGAGTGTGTAGTGCAGTCCCATGTAGGCTCCCCAGTTGTCAGTCCCAGAGTCCATGTGCTCCCACTAGGTTGGTTCAGCTATCAATGGTTTTTATGTCATGATGCTGACACCCTTCCCCTTGCTCCTATAAGCCTCTCTCCCTCTCTTCAACTAAACTCCAGGATCTTGGCCAAGTGCTTGGTTGTGGGTCTCTGCATCTGCTTCCATCAGTCATATGATGTATGTGCTATGATGACAATTAGGGTAAACACCAATCTGAGTGCAGGGGAAGACTAGTTCAAGTACTTCTCCACCATTGCTATGAGTCTTAGCTGGGAACAATCTTGCTATTTCCTGGAGTTTTCCCTAGCTACAAATTTCTTCCCATCCCCTTAATGATATGCTCTGTCAACATATCTATTTCATTGCTCTCCCTTCCCACGGGTCCCCCAACTTAGCCATCCCAACCCCTCATTTTCCCACCTATCTCCTCTTCTCAACTTCCCTCTTTTGTTTACCCTGGAGATCTTGACACTTTGCCCTTCCTGTAGCAATCCATGTGTATCCCTCTTGGGTCCTCTTCTTTACCTAACTTCACTGGTTTTGTGGATTGTAGCCCATTTATCCTTTGCTTTGCTTCTAATATTTACTTATTAGTGAGTATATACTATGTTTGTCTTTCTGGATTTAGGTTACCTCACTCAAGACGATTATTTCTAGTACCATTTATTTGCCTACAAATTTCATGATGAAATGATTATATGTGTTTGTGGGCTTTCTGTATTTTGTGTTGTTGTTGTTGTTGAATTCTAACTTTAAGATATGTTGGTCCAATAAGATAGAGAGGGGTTATACCATTTTTTTGTATCTGTTGATATTTGTTTTGTTATCAACTATGTGGTCATTTTTTATAAAATTCCATGGGGTGCTGAGAAGAATGTGTATTTTTTGTTTGTTTGTTTCAATGAAATATTCTGAAGATTCCTGTTATGTCTATCTGAGTCATAACATCTACTAGTTCCCTTATTTCTCTGTTATGATTCTGTCAGACAGGCTTGTTCAGTGGTGAGAGGGGGTGTTGACGTCTCCCACTGTTAGTGTGTGGGTTTTATTGTCATTTAAGCTTTAGTAATTTGCTTTTTTTTTTTAAAACAAATATAGGTGCCATTGTACTTGGGGCATAAATGTTCAGAATTGAGACTTCATCTTGATGGATTTTTCCTGTGATGAATATGAAATGTGCTCCATCTCTTTTGATTGATTTTAGCTTGAAGTCTATTTTGTTGTATATTAGGATAGCTACACCAGCTCCTTTCTTAGTTACATTTGATCAGAAAATCTTTTCCCAACCCTTTACTCTGAGGTATTATCTGTCTTTGTGGTTTTGGTGTTCTTTGTATGCAGCAGAAGGATGGATTCTGTTTTTTTATCCATTCTGTTCGCCAATGTCTTTTTATAGTAAAATTGAGTCCATTGATAATTAAGTTATATTAATGACCAGTGATTTTTAATTCCTGTTATTTTTTTGGTGGTATTATGTGTTTTTCTTCTCCAGGATTTACTGGTGTGAGATTATGTATTGCCTGTGTTTTGGTGTTTTCAGCTAACTTCCTTGAGTTGGAGGTTTCCTTCTAGTGCTTTTGTAGGGCTGGATTTGTGAATATCTAATGTTTAAATCTAGTTTTTTTCATGGAATATATTGTATTCTTCATCTGTGGTGATTGAAAGCTTTGCTTGGTATAATAGTGTGTGCTGGCATCCATGGTCTCTTAGTATCTTTAGAATGTCTGTACTGGATCTTCTGGCTTTTGGAGTTTCCATTGCAAAATTGGGTGTAATACTGAGAGGTCTGCCTTATGTTACTTGACCTTTTTCTTTTGCTGCTCTCAGTACTTTCTTTATTCTGTATGTGTAGTGCTTTAAGTATTATGTGTCAAGAAAAATTTTTGTAATCCAGTCTATTTGGTGTTCTGTATGATTCTTCTCCCTTAATGGGCATATCTTTCTTAAAGTAGGGAAAGTTTTCTTCTATAATTTTGTTGAATATATTTTCTGTGACTTTGAACTAGACTTGTTCTCCGTCTATCCTTATTATTTGTATGTTTGTTCTTTTCATGGTTTCTCAGATTTCCTTGATTTTTTTTTAATTTGGTGAATTTAACATTTTCTTTAACTGATGAATCTATTTCTGCTATCATATCCTTAGTGCCTAAGAATCTCTCTTCCATTTCCTGTATTCTGTTGGTTAGCTTGTCTCTATAGTTTCTGTTTGTTTACTCAGATTTTTCTTTTCCTTATTCCCCCAGTTTTTGTTTTCTTTATTGTATCTCTTTCAATTTTCAAATCTTGAACTGTTTCCTTCACCTGTGTGATTTTTTTCTTGGATTTCCTGACTTTAAGAGATTTTTTATTTCATCCATTTTTTGGTTTGTCTTTTTCTTCATTTCTTTTAGGGATTTTTTCCATTTGTTTTTGGGCCTCTATCATCTTCATAAAGTTGTTTTTTATGGCTTCTTTCTTTCAGATTATCTGCTTTGGGATGTTCAGGTCTTGCTCTTGTGGGATCACAAGGATGTGGTAGTGCTCCATTGTTCTTTGTTTTCTAATTTGTTCTTACACTACCGTCTATCCATTTCTTTCTTTTATCCATAAAGGTACAGCTCTAAGTCATTCTTCCTCCAGTTGGTGCAGGACGGGGTCTGTGGCTCTGTGGTCACTCTTCTTCCCATTTGGTGTAGGAGGGGCATAAGGCTCTGGTGTTAGTTCTCCTGAATTGGTGTGGGGGAGGGAGGGCATATGGCTCCAGTGGTCTCTGTTGCTTTAGGGGATGTTTTGGAAGGTGGTGGTAGGGAGGAGGCTGCTAGCCTATCTCTTGAATTGCACTGGCTGAGGGGAGGGGCTAGAGAACTGTCCTGACTCTTCTGGAGGTTGGGCCTTACCTATTCCCAATTGGTGCATGGGGGCGGTAGGCATATGACATTGATGGTCAGTTGTGCCAGTGGAGATTGTTACCTTGGTGAGACAGGGCTTCTTATTATAAAGTATTTGGAAAGATTGTTAGTCAACACACTTATAATCAGTTTCACAACAGTATCTATTCTGTAGGAAAAAAAATGGACAATGGTAACAATCTGATTAAGCATTATGATGATCAGTTTTATGTTATTTGCATCAGCAAGCTCATGGAGAAAAATGAATTTATAACTATATGAAGCCATATGTGTAGTGTTAAAGGGCCAGCAAAAGAAATGCACTCTGTCCCTGAAACCAGAGCCAGTGAAAGACACACACTCTGTCCCTGAAACTGGAGCCAAAGAAATACACAGTGACCATGAAACCAGAGCCAAAGAAACACACTTCATTCCTGAATCCAAGCCAGTGGAAAAACACCCTGAACCTGAAATAAGACCCAAATGGTTAAAAGGGAGCAGTGAAAGAAACACACTTTGGCCATGAAACCAGAGCCAAAGAAACACACTCTACCCTTGACCAAGTGAGCACAAACAAACCAATTCGTGAGCTTGAATCCAACCAATCTCTGAGCACAAAATCCAGGTGATCTCTGAATGTGTTCAATCTCAGGGATTGATGTCTGACCAATTCCCACCCTGAAAATGTTCTGCCCCTAAGAATTGGTATAGAAGGGCTGTTCAGTTGGCAACTGCTCTTTTCCATCCAGGCAGAGGCAGCCATTCTTCTGGATTCCTCCCTCATAAATAAATCTCATGAATAAGTTTTTGGTAAAGACCTTTTGTGAGAGTAGATCAGAAACTCACTAGTGGATTGGAGCAAAGAAGCAATGGACACCTGTTGGAAAACTTTCTTAATGGAGTGGAGTTGAAGAAACAACTTTTCCCTGGAGACCACTATGTTTCTGCAGCAGTTTCCCCCTTACTTAACTGAAGCAGAGAAGTAACAATTTGGGCTAGAGATGAGAAGAAATGGACATTTCTGCTGGGAAACTGCATTAGGAAGTAGAGCAGAGCAGCAGTAGACATCTCTTCTGGGAAATACTCTTATCAGAGTAGTGCAGAGCCCCAGCTGTAATGGCAGGAAATAGACATTAAATTATTCTTCTACACTAATTTGTGATTTTGCATTAGTGGCACTGGGATTACCTGATACCTACAAGGGAAGATGAGACTTTGCAAAGCCATAGAATGAGATTACCTCCTTTTGCCAAGACAGATCTATCATTTGGGGCCTCTCTGTTTGTAAGAATTATCAGTGGCTGGATTGTCAGAAACCTAACGGTTTAATGGTCACTGAGTTAATTATGTGGGATTTGTGATGGCTCTGTTAATATCTATACACATAGAATTATAGGTAGTTGGGTAACATTGGTCAAGATCACACTTTTCCTGGCTGAGTTTCCTTTGGTCTTTTGATTAAAAGTTGACTATACTTTTCTGCTTTTGTTCTTGGCTCTTTCTTTCTCCTTTATTCTTTCACA